ATCTCTTCTTATTGAACTATGCCCTTCACCTTTATATAATGACCCTCTTTGATTTCACTACTTTTGTTGCTTTAAAAACTAAATCATCTGAAATTAGGCTGCCACGCCAGCCTTCTTTTGGCTTCCATTTGCTTGGAATACTGAGCATTCTTGCAGGTTAGATGTGTTTCCTGAAGACAACGCAATATACTTGGCCTGTATTTTCTTATCCATTTGAGACAGCCTATGTCTCTTTGAGTGGGAGAGTTTAAGCCATTCACATTTTATTGAGAGAACTGATAGGTAAGTAGATTACTGTTCTTCTGTTGGGTTGGATGTTGTTGCTATGATTTTCTGTCTTGACCTGTAATATCCTGGCCTTTCAATCTTTGGCGTTTTGGTTGTTTTTATATTCGTGGGTTGTATTATGATGTTCCGTGCCGTACACTCTGTTTTATACTTCTTGTAGGGCTGGTCTTGTCGTGGTGAATTCTCTGAGCCTTTGCTTGTCTGAGTATGTCTTTATTTCTCCTTCATATACGAAGCTTAGCTTTGCAGGGAATAAGATTCTAGGCTGGGCATTGTTTTGTTTCAAAAGAGTGAGAATGGGCCCCAGTCTCTCCTTGCTTGTAAATCTCATTAGAGAGTCTGGGTGTTATTCGAATTGCTTTCCCTTGTATGGTCACTTGCTTCTTTCATCTTACAGCTCTTAGAAGGGCCTCTTAGTCTGATATTTTCGGTCCAGTCTGACTATGACTGCTGTCGTGACTACTTCCTGTTGCATTGAATCTCCCGGGGTCCTCTTAGCTTCTTGAACTTGTATATCGAGATTTTCGAGCAAGGCCTGGGAAATTTTCTTCTATTATATCTTCAAATAGCTTGTCCAACCCTGAGTGTTTTCTTCTCCCCTTCTGTAACCCTATGACCTCACATTGGGTTCTTCCACATAATTCCACATCTCTTGTAGGCTTTGCTCTTTTTCTCTTGTTTCTCTGCTCTATTTCTGTGACTGATTTAATTTAATTGGGGAGGTGTTATCTTCAACTCTGAGACTTCTTTCTTCTGTTTGATCTACCCTGTTCTTGACGAACTTTCCAACTGGATTTTGTAGTTCCCCTGAATTGATTTCGTTCATTTCTCGGAGTTCGGTTAAACTTTTCTTAATTGTGTCTATTTCTTTAGTGAACTTTTTTTCCAGATCCTGGAGGCTTTTTGTGGTTTCTTTGTGTTGGTTATTGAGTTGTTTTTGCAGGTCGGTGAGTTTTCTTATGATCTACATATAAAATTCCTCTTCTGTCATTTTGGTTGCCTGATTTTGGTTAGTGCCCGTTTCTAGGGGGCTGAGGCTCCTCTTTGGGGGTGTGTTTTCTGCTTGGTTCTTCATATTTCCAGAGTTCCTAATCTTGAGCAGCCTCACCTGATTATCCCATGAGCCATGAGAATGTGACCTTTTATTGACAATGCCTTGGCGTGAGCGAGTGCACACAAACACACACACGCACACACACCCACACACCCACACACGCGTGGTCATGCACACACAAACACATGCGCTCAAAGTTCGAGATGATCTGCTCTATGTAGTCACCCCTGCAAATGTCCAGATAGCAACTACTATGTCACACTTAATTCAGGCTCTTCTTGTCAGGTTTAAACAATCGTCACATCCCCCAGCCCTTTTCCTACACCTTCTATTCTAAAGTCTTTATAAGCTGACAGCTGTCCTCTGAGCTGTCTCCTAGCTGCTCATGTGTGTCTTGAACTGTGCAGCCTGTCACTTGGCACCCATGGGCCAACACTGTGACTTGATCTCTTGGAGGGGACAGACAGCCCTCCAGCCTGGCCACATCTCCCTTCGGTTCTGCAGGAGCAGGTAGCCTGCCTTGAGGAGAAAATCTGCCAAGACGTGTCATTTCCTCCCCTCTTTGATATGCATCCTCTGTCATGTTTTCATTCAATATATATTTACTTCCTGACGCTGGGAGTCACACACACGTGTAATTTGGGAGCCCTGTCCTTGACCTCACCATGCAGGTTTAGCATGAAGCTCTGCCTAGCTGAAGAGCTACACAACTGCAGGGAAGAGGTTTCTCCAGCCCCAGCATTTGTAACTGCCCAGTGATCTCTGGGACAAATCAGATACTGTGGAGCTAACTACTCAGACACATCATGCTCCTTACCAAAGCGTTCCTGAACCTCTGCCCTCCCCAGTTTTCTGATATGAATTAGTGATTCCTTGAGAATTGGTCAAAGAACAGCTTTTTTCTTTCAAATAGCATTCCTTAGCTAGGTATCCCTGCAGGTACATGTGTGCCTAGAGCTAACACCTACAAGAAGCTTCAATAGAGAAGGCTTTTCCCCAAATGCTGGTAAGATTCCTTTTCTGAAACTGGTAGAAGCTCCTTCAAAATTGAAAGGAACAAGAGATAAAGGTACAACATTTAGTTTTTTTTGTACCAGCAACAATAAACCGCATTGACACTGAGTAGCAGAGCTTCGTAGCACTCAGCCTTTTTCAAGTAACATCAACTGCAAATTATAAATTTGCTTGTATAATTTATAAAGAGGTTTTCTTACACTGTTCTCAGTGCATTTGTACAAGCATCCTGTAGGTAAGCAGAGCAGGTATTATTGCGCCCATTTTATCAATGAATAAAACCATTTACAGCAATACCTATGCTGTACTTGTGTGCCTGCTGTTCGCAGTCAGGTGTATACCTTCAGATGACCTCTTACTTCTCAGTAAAGTCCCTTTTTGCATATTGAAGAACTCCTTTTAACATTTTTTGTATAATGGCACTGGTATTAAAGAAATCCCTCAATTTTGTGTGTCTGGGAAAGTTTTTATTTCTCCTTCATGTTTCAAGGATGTATTTGCATTTTTGCAGTATATAATATTCTAGAGCTAAGGTTTTCTTTTTTTTCCTTCAACACTTTGAATATGTCACCCACTCTCTCGTGGCCTGTAAGGTTTACCATGAGAAGTCTGTAGTCAGACCTGTGAGAGCTCCTTCATAGGTTATTTTTTTCTTTTTTCTTACTTCCCTTGGGGCCTTTTCTCTATGTGTGACCTTTTTGAGCTTGATTATTAAATGCCTTGAGGTTGTCTGATTCCACTTAAATCTGCTTGGTGAAAGAAGAGAGGACACACACTCTTTCTCCTTTTTCACCTTCTGGTCACTCTTGGGCACATTTTAGTCCATTGTCTACCTCAATCAGTCTACTGAAATTATTGCTCAAGGTTCCGAATACATTCCAACTGCCAGACCCAGTGGTCTTTCTAGAAGTCATTACCTAATCACATCTCTGCCACTCTCTTTTGAATTTTTTTTAAATCATTCCATCCCCATTTGGTTCATAGAAACTTGGGATCCACCTTTTGAATGCTGATGCTTTTCAAGCACCTGGACTTACCAAGAATTCTTCATCTTAGATCCATAAATCCTTGAAATTTTGTAAAATATTTAACTCCTATATGTATGTGTGTATTGTTTTTTCTAGAGGAGAGTGTTCGTCAGCTTCTTAGGGGTCAATTGCTGTTACCCAAGATACTCCTTCCAAGAGAGTCCACCGACTCTCACAGTCTCCACTGTCATCCCTCAGTGGGTGTCTTCTGCATGGTTTCCTCCAGCCCAGATCTTGCTGTCAGTTATTAACTCAATTTTGCCTGGACATTGCTTTCCACATGTCACATGGGTTTCTCACCTGGGCATGTAAAAGATTAAATCTATCTTGTTTTCCCCAAACCGGTTTCTTTTTTCAGTGTTGTCCACGTAAATTGTAGGTAGCTTCATCCAACCAGCATCCAAGCTAGAAACAAAAAGGTCATTCTCTCCCCTGCTTCTCAGCTTCCTCCTCTCTGCCACCATCCCCACCTCCACTGCTGCCACCATCCAAATCAGTCACAACGTCTTGCTCCTACTGCCTTTTCTGCATCTTCTCTGTGCTCTGGTCTCTTTAACTTGGTTCAACCGTTGCAGATTCCTAAACCATCTTCTAGCCCTCTGTCGAGTTCCATTCACATTCATTCCTCAGGCAGTTTCCAAGATGCATATAATGGTAGTTATAAACACAAAGCTGTTTCAGTGGCCTGTCCATAAAACAGTTATACTAATATTTGTCTCTACTTTTCTTAAAAGAAGATTTATACACATAAAGCTGCATCCCTAGGTGCCCTTAGGGCACGGGCTGTGTCTTCTTCAGTCTTGAATCTTGCTTGGTTGCTGTAGTTCAGGCCTGCAATCCCAGCACTTTGGAAGGATGAGGTGTGAGGGTTTCAAGACTAGACTAGGCAACAGAGCCAGGCCTTATCACTACAGAAAGTTTAAAATTAGCTGGGTCCAGTGGCATGTACTTGTAGTCCCAGCTACCTGGAAGGCTGAGGCAGGAGGATTGCTTGAGCCAGAAAGTTTGAGGATGCAGTGAGTTATGATCTTGCCACTACACACCACCCTGGGCGACAGACCGTGTCTCTAAAAAAAAGTTTTTTAAAAATGTTTAATTGAAAGCTTCCCGTACTCTTTTTATATGTTTGTGTTTACTAATGAATATAGTTCTTAAAACATTTCATAGTTTGTGCCCACTTTTAAAACTTTTAATCATTTTGTTCTTTAGAGACAGTTCTGACTCAAATCGCCCAGGCTGGGAGTGCAATGCATGATTTTAATTCAGGCAGCCTCACAACTCTGGGCTCAAGGGATCCTTACATATTAACGCCTCCTTGATCTGGAGTATAGGCATGTGCCACTAGGCCTGCCTAACTTTCTTATTTTTATTTTTGTGTAGAGATGTTAGTCTACTATGTTGCCCACAATGGGTCTTGACTCCTGGCAGTGAAGTGATCCTGCCCTATTTGGCCTCTCTCCAAGTCCTGGGTTTACAGGTGTGAGTTTATGCAGCCAGACTGTATCCATTTTAACAATAATTTTCGTGGAGAAAATTTTTAATGTGAACAGTGCAAACAAAGTGAACAAACCCAGTGTCCGAAGCAGTGATGTGGCTCCTCTGATTTTCTTGCACAGATTCCAATCCCGCAGGCTTAGATGTGCCGTGTTGGTGCTCATCGTCTTGTACCTCAACCCCATCCCCGTCAGTCTGCTGGTCACTCTGGCAATTGTGAAATATATTCAGGGCCAGTTGAAAAACTGGGTGAGTATTAAAATCAGAATGTTTTTATTTATTTTTTTCTTTGTTTTAATTTTAGCGTATTATGGGGGTACAAGTGTTAAGGTTACATACATTGTCCTTGCCCCCCTCCCCTCTCTAGAGGAGCTTCAAGTGTGACCATAGAAAATTACTCTTAAGCCATGGTTTTTGGTTTTCTTTTGTAAAGAATCAAATTAACTGAGTCCCCACGGGAGGCTGCTGCACTGCGGGCGGCTGCACTCTGGGCAGACAGGCTCAGCGCTGTCCCAGCCTGGCTCAGCAGCGCGTGCGCTTCGTGATGTTCACCGCCACCAGTTTTTGTTTGTTGTTTGTTTGTTTGTTTTTCTTTTTTTTTTAGGTGATAAGATTTAAGACACATTAGTTGAGAGCTGGTTCATAGTGTTGTGCACCTCTTCTATATCTTTGATGACTTTTTGTTTACTTGTTCTATCAGTTATTGAGAGGAAGATTTGAAATCTGTAACTGTAATTGTGGATCTGTGTTGACCTTGACATGGTTTTAGATTAGCTTTGCATATTTTATTTATTTGTTATTTTTAGCTCGTGACCCTACTGCAGAGCGGTCCCCCCCACCCTGCCGCGGGGAGGGTCTCGCGGGGCAACGACCGCAAAGGCGGGCGAGGGCTGCCCGCTGAGTCACGGGGACCCCCGACCTGACACCAGGAGGCCGAGGGCTGGGGCGCAGCGAGGTCGCCGGACACCCCGCACCCCGCCCCTCCCAGCAGCCGCGGGCGGAGAGAGAGGCGCCGCGGGCAGAGCGGGAAGAGCCGCCGTCAGCCGGCACGGCCGGTCCCTCGCCTGGCGCGAGGTCAACGCCCGGAGAGCGCGAGGTCACCGCGTCCGTCTGTGTCCCGGGTTATAAACCTCTCTTATTAGGTACGTGGAGATTGAGGGCTGTTTTCCCTATTGATTAATTGGCCTGTTTGTCATTGTGAAATGATTTTCTTCATCCTTGTCATCCTTTACTATGAAATCTATGTCGTCTGACACAGACAGGGCAGTTTTCTCTTGATTAGTGGCTGTTTGGTATATATTTTACTTTCTCTTAACCAATGTGTGTCTATATGTTTAAATGGTGTTTCTTCTAGGTAGCATTTGGTGGCTCCTGTGGTTGTGATTCCTTCTGAAAACCTCTGCTGTTTAACTGGGGCGGTTAGATCACGTGCATGGTGATGTTATTGCTATGGCTGGGTTTAAATACATCATTTTGCCATTTACTTTACGTTTGTTCCATCTCTTCTTTTTTCCCCAACCTTCTTTGGATTACTTTTTTATTCCAATGTTTCTCCTTTAAAAACTATTTTAGTAGTTTATAGTAAATGTTTTTAATTTATTACCGTCTACCTTCAAATGTTGTTATTCTATTTCACATATAGCATGAAAACCATACAATTTCACTTTTCTCCTCAAAATCTTTGTGCTATTGTGATTATAATTTTAATTTTATTTGTATTTATTTTTTCATTTTAGCATATTATGAGGGTACAAGTGTTAAGGTTATGCATATTGTCCATGCACCC